GCAATCATGGCGGAAATGATACTAGCAACGCTACAGCGCTGAATAATATGTATATATATAGATATATATATATATATATATACATATACATATACATAGAAATGAATGAATAAATGAATGAATGAATGAATGAATGAATAGCTTTTCCTACTAACGCCTCGCATGCTGTTGGCTCGGACCAGCCATCGCGGGGCACAAGGGCGAGATGAAGTCTTGGCCCGGGCTACCGCATTCCAACGGGGCGAGTGGCGCAGCCTGCTGGCAGCGGCACGGCGCAGCGGTGACGCTTGCCAGCGTGCGGAGGCAACCAATGCAGAAACAGCGGCCCAACCAAGGAGGGCCACTGCTTGCGCGAAGGTGCGCCGTGGAGAGGTGTCACGCGCCCCCCAAGTCCGCACGTCAGCGGAGCTGGCCGGGGTTGCACTGCTGGCCTTTCGGGCGTGCGAGCCGAGCATCTAAAATTTCTGCTTCAAGATGCCGAAGCCCTGGACCTCCTCGCTTACGCTGCGACGCGACTTGCGAATACGCAGGTGCCTCCGGAGGTCGCTGCGGGGATCGCCATGGCCCGCTTGACGGCGCTCCAGAAACCCGATGGGGGCGTATGCGGCATAGCGACGGGCGATGTGTTTCGGCGCCTGGCCGCACGTGCGCTCGCCAAGGAATGGACATGGAATGAGTGGATTGATGGATGTAAGGAATGAATGGAAAGAATGAACGGATGCATGGAATGGAGTGGAATGGAAGGGAATGGAATGGAATGGAATGGAATGGAGTGCGATGCAAATGCAAATTCAGGTGCAGATGCAGATGCAAACGCAAACGCAAAAGCAAAAGCAATGCATGCATGCATGCATGGATGGATGCGTGGATGGATGCATGGATGGATGGATGGATGAGTGAATGAATCATGCTTCCAATGTACGAGCCGTTAGACCCACTCGACGGGCAGGAACTCGGGACTCGCCCTGACAGAGTTCGATGTCACACGGCGCTGCAAAGGCGCCCAGTATCTCAGTACCCCGAGCTTGCTGGGCCCGGCAGCGGCAGCGAGGCGCAGGACGCCCCGTGCGAGTGGGGTCTCTGTGAACTTCCTGGCGCTCCATACTGTCGACTCCGAGCGTAACTGTCGGCCGATCCTGCGCTGCTAGGCTAGGAAAATTTTCGGCAGGCGGTTCTTATCATGAGTTTGGACAGGCAAACATGCAAGGATTTTTGCTGGTGTGGGCGAGGTTATCCAGACTTGCAAAGGGGGCATTTGCGCCAATGACGTGTGGCAGCGGCAGATGATTTTGCTGGCGCCCACGACGGTGGCGATGTGAGCAACCCTGTCAATCCCCCTCACAGATCTGGCAGAGTCTATTCATCGTTTTTGTTGCAGTGGCATCTGCAAACGTTTCAGTGGTCATCGTTGGAGCTTCCACTACGTCATTGCGTTCTCGCCTTCGAAACCCACCTTCCATTCCCTTTGCACTCTCCAGCCCTTCGGGAGTCGTCTCATCACCGGTCACACCTCCGTCGAACCGTGCAAAGCAGCCAAGAAAGACGACTTGTCCATTTCATTTTGGCCTTTGGCTGTAAGATGCTGCAGGAGCTTTGGGTGACAGTGGGCAGCTCCAGATAACTTGCTATATGAGCTATATGTCGAACGAAAGCAGGGATGTTGATGCAGGCATGATGTGTCGCACGTGCAGCCCATCTGTAGTGGCCTTTGCGAAGGCCAGTAGGTAGCAACGCATTCTTGCACACCGCTTAAAACTAAAGTCAATCGATTGGAGCTCGGTGTGGGCAGCATCCGTGTTCCTTTCATGCTTGCATGACGATTCAAGATCACGGTTTGAACGTTGAGAGATCACAAACACCGCAGACATCGAATTTGCGTGGAGAAGCACGCAGTTTTTTTGGTGCCATGGCGTCGCCTGTTGAATGAAGCAGGGCACAGAGAAGGCGTGCGAGAGCTGGTCCACAGATCATCTGACCGTATCATGTTCGGGGAGCTCTTGCCGCAGGTGCGCGCATGCGCTTGCGGACTCGTTCTGACGAGCGTGCTGGCCGTTGCACTTCTCAGGCCGAATAACCTTCCGCCATCTTCTGCCACTTTGTTATGCCTTCTTGATGCTTCCCACCGGGCCGACGTTCACTTCGACTTTCATCGGACATGACTGGACACGAAAGGTTCCTACCTTCGAGGCATATTCGACACGGAGAGGCGCGGAACCGACAATGTTTTCGCTGGCGATACCCGCTTGAATTGTCAGGGGACGGTGGCACCCGACTTTGGCAACCTGACCTGGCGAAAGCATCAGTTGAGTTAGGTGCTGAGACCTTCTGCTCTCTTGGAGCAGGCGGTGTTTGTTGCTTGCGTCTGTTGCAACTCGCTGAGGTCATGCTTTCTCCACACCTGCATTCTCAAATGTTCTTGCGGTGTCTCGGATACCACCTGTTAGACTTCAACTCTGGTTGCATATGTTGTATGATAGCCACATGGTGCTGTGAGAAAGAGCGCCGCCAGGAAAGCGCTCCTGCAAAGCAGAGCGCGAGTTTCACGTTTTCATTGCTCAGCACCTTGTTCGCAGTACTTTCGCAGTTTGGCACATGCGGAGGTTCTTCGGCTTCTGAGATATTTCTAGGCAGACGTGTTCGGTAGAGTGGTGCTTTGTCGACATGCAAGGCGGCGGATTCTCAGGTTCTGTTAATATGACAGACGCGGGTGGGCTACAAGGACACGGGGTGTGGCAATTGGAGAGGAAGGCTTTCGCATCCAGATGCGCTCCTTCAGGAGTTGTTGGTGGTGACAGTGGCCGTAGGCTGCAAGCAGTTGCTCAGAGATGATTAGAGGTGTCCAGTTTGTATTTTGTGAGTGTTGGTATGGACACCTGTGATCCATAGAAGGGGCAAGCAGATGGGCAAGACTGTTTATGCTGCCTCTTCCTTTCGATACAACAAGCAGGCTACCACCACAACTCTCACAAGTACTTCCACAAGCAGCACCGGCACGTCATCAGCGACTTCGTCCACCACGGCTTCGTCCACTTATTCGTCAACTTCTACGTCATCTACCTCCTCCACGTCGACATCAACGAGCAGCTCCAGTAGCAGCACTTACACGTCCAGCACAACAATCAGCACATCAAGCACAACCAGCACCATTACCACAACCAGGACATCTACGAGCACCACTTCGTCTTTCAGCACATCTTCCACAACGACACGCAGCAGCACGACGAGCAGCAGCAGCTTATCGTCCACTAGCACATCAACCTCGACTGCGTCCAGCACCTCTTCGTCCAGTTCCTCGACATCTTCTAGCACGACGAGTAGCACCTCCACATCGACATCGTCGATAACTTCGACGTCAACATCGACGTCAATGTCAACTTCTACATCATCTACCTCTTCCACTTCAACTTCAACGAGCAGCTCCAGCACGACGAGTAGCAGCTCCACATCGACATCGTCTTCATCCACGAGCAGCAGTAGCACGTCAACCTCGACTTCTTCTAGCACCTCTTCGTCCAGTTCCTCCACATCTTCTAGCACGACAAGTAGCACCTCCACATCAACGTCTACCTCATCGTCTTCAACTTCCTCAACGACGACATCGTCCACGTCGAGCTCTACTTCATCTACGTCCTCCACTTCGACTTCAACGAGCAGCTCCAGCAGCAGCAGCACTTCCACAACCAGCAGCACGACAAGCAGCACATCAAGCTCGACCACCAGCACCACGTCATCCAGCACGTCGACCAGCACAACAAGCAGCAGCAGCTCTTCGACGAGCAGCACCAGTACNNTCGACAACGTCGTCGTCATCAACATCCACGTCGACGTCATCGACATCCACCACCTCGACGACGACTTCGTCTTCCTCATCCTCTACTTCATCCACGTCCACCACTTCAACTTCAACGAGCAGCTCCAGCAGCAGCAGCACCTCCACATCAAGCAGCACAACAAGCAGTACATCCAGCACAACCACCAGCACGACCTCTTCCAGTACATCTACTAGCACCACATCCTCCTCTTCCACTTCGTCTTCCAGTACCACATCCACCACAACAAGCAGCAGCACGACGTCGACAAGTAGCTCTTCAACATCGACGTCTTCCACCAGCAGCACCAGTACATCAACCTCCACTTCGTCAAGCACTTCTTCTTCCAGTACTACAACCTCATCTACAACCACCTCATCTACAACCACAAGCACATCTTCAACCAGCAGCACATCAACTTCGACGTCGTCCACAACTTCGACGTCGACGTCGTCAACCACAACTTCGTCTACATCTACATCCACTTCATCCACATCCTCCACGTCAACTTCCACGAGCAGCAGCAGTACATCAACCTCAACTTCCTCAAGCACCTCTTCCTCCAGTACTTCAACTTCATCCAGCACCAC